ATCCATATTGCTATAAAATATAGCATTCTGTGTAGAATTCAAATAGCTCCGATACATTTTGTGGTCTGTGCCAACTCATGCATGTGATCCGCTCCCTGCTATCGTGTCTCTGGACCAGAGCAGAGTGTGTGTGCGGTGCGGTGGTTAGCGTGACACAGCGCGAAACCAGACTTCTTTTTTTCCTCAATGGAAAGCATATTTACACTGTTTGAATCATTCCCTGTCCCCTATATAGTGCACTACGTGCCATTCACTGTACAAAAAATACTAATTCTGTGGACAAGTGACCGATTTCAACCGCGGCTTCAGCGTCTATTTTATAGTGTAGGGGGCGGGCGCTTCGGATTCTAGAGAGCATTTGATTGGACAGAAAGTTTGATGAGAAGCTGAAATACGATGTGACGTCAAAAAAATCGTTGAGCCGTTTTGGCGGAAGTGATGAACTGCAAGCTTTGAATGCTTATATCTTCTAAATGTGAATTTTGTCACTGTTTTGGAGCACACTGCCTTATAGATAACCTTAAGACTAACATATTGATACTAACACCCAAAAAACTTTAATTTTGATTTCATGGGGACTTTAAATGTGTCACATATTCTCAATCAGTAATCTTTATACATCTGTTCAGCTGCCTGCCTAGATAGCATTTTAAAGCATCTTAAGCGAAAGCCTGTTCCAAAATGTAGACAGCAAAGCATCTTAGAAAAAATTTCTTATAAAATACCTTCTTTTGGCAAATTTCAGTGGCAAGATTGTATGTATGCAAAGGATATTCTAGACTGCACTGCAGCCAGCTTGAATCCAAGCAGTTAGCTTAGCAACATACTAATGATAAACTCCATTGGAATCAATTGAATCAAGCATCTGAGTTACTTATGTAGTGTTCTAATTCAGGTAATTATACTGAAATATACACTGCATGTGTGGTTTTATGTGGTATATTGAGTGTCTGATTGTATGTTGCAAGCATGTTGTGTTGTGCTGTGTGTGCTGTAGTGGACATGTGGTCTGTAGGCTGTATCTTTGGGGAAGTTATAAGAGGATCAGTGCTGTTTCCAGGGACAGATCGTATCCTTCCCGTCTGTCTGTTCTCCACTCCTCACTGCTGTCTCCATTCGTATTGTACTTGCCAAATATGTTTTGTATATTTATATACACTACTGTTCAAAAGTTTGGGTCCGGTAAGATTTTTTGTATGTGTTTGTATCTTGTGCTGAATTATTTGACAAAAAATACAGTAAAAACCATTAAAGTAAAATAATAATAATAATAATAATAAATAAAATAAAAATGAAATAAAAATCTTATTTTGCTTGTCAAATATGATATTAAAATGTTCGATATGTATGTATTTATGTATGTGTATACACACACACACACACACACATATATACAGTGTATATATATATATATATATATAAAATATTAATTTTATAAAAAAATATACATTTTATAGAAAAAAATTTATTTCAGAAGATTTGTCACTTTTGATCAGTTTAATGCATCCTTACTGAATAATTTCTTTAAAAAAAAAGCTTACTGACTCCAGATATATATATTAGATACAATAGCAAATATTATAAAATTCATGAAAACTTTTTTTTTTTCAAAATTTTATTTGAATCACCGATTGACCTGATTTTGGAAGGCATCTGTAGAATGAAAGCCGCCAGGCAGCCGTTGTTGTCTGTTTGGCTTCCTTAAACGTGTGATGGCAAGATAGAGGGAGAGAGATACGGGCCGGGCTTTGTGTTTTGGGTGGGAGGCAGTGGGCCGTTCCTGCAGGATGATGTAATGTGGTCCTGGCTGCCCCGGGCCCTTTGAACCAGGACCCCCTTTTGTGGGAATCATGGGAAGCCTGGGAAGCAAAAGCAGTCAGGTGACTCCTCAGGGCTAAATAGGCTACCATGACAACATCAATTTCCCCCCTCTGTTGCTAGGCACCCATAGAGACTCCGGCCGGCTCAGACCTATATGCTGTAAACCATTCCCTTAAACGCCAATAATCAAGAGCGTTGAATGCCAGCAGTCTCTCTCTCTCTTTCCATTCTCGATCCTGCTCTAGCTGCCCTCATTTCCCACCGCTACACTTCAGTGATAATAACACCAATGAGGAGATTGCTGAGAGAAATGTCATTTCATAACAAGGATGCAGTTCAGATTTATTAAGATCTGGTGGATAACAGACTTATTCAATGTTTATATACACTACCGCCTAAGCTTTTTTAATGTTTCTGAAAGAACATGTCTTATGCTCACCAAGGCTGCATTTATTTAATAAAAATACAGTAAAAACAGTAATATATTGTGAAATATTATTACAATTTGAAATAGCTGTTTTCTGTAATTTATTCCTGTAATGTAAAGCTGAATTTTCAGCATCATTTCTCCAGACTTCAGTGTCACATGATCCTTCACAAATCATTCTAATATACTGATTTGCTGCTCAAGAAACATTTTGTATTATTATCAATATTGAATACAGTTGCGCTGTTTAATATTTTTGTATTTTTGTGGAAATCGTGATACACTACCATACCAGATTGGGGTGTTTTTTTTATTTTTTAAGATTAATACTTTTATTCAGTACGGACATATTCAAATTATCAAAAGTGACAGTAAATTATATATTAAATTAAATCATAGTACATTTATAAAGTTAGAACATTTCTGTTTCTATAGAATTTCTATTATAAATGCTGTTCACTGAAATTTTTAATATTTAAATGTATTTATTTATTGCTCATAATATTAAGTCAGGCAATCTGATTAGAATGGAGTGTGGGCCATTATGTCATCAAAGACTCAAATGCTCACTCCTCAAGCATAAGATGATAAATATATCAAAGCATGGTCAGTCATCTGTATGTCTATATCTGATCTTGTTCAAACTGTCTAGGGTCTGGTAATTGTTTGTTTGAATGAGCATGTCTGCAGTCTCTGGAAACACTTGCAGCAGTCAGTGACGCTTAACAAAAACGTTTGGTGTGGAAATCACTTCCTTACGCACAGAGGACGAGGAAGCATTGTTTGTTTTGCTAGATTGTTTGTTTGCAGCAATAGCCAATTAAGAATGCATGTGAATTGTTAAAAAATAATAGCATGGACTCTAACCTAATAACAGTCAGGACTTGAACTTGGGTCCCTGTGAGCCAAGGGCTCTTATACGTCAAAGCATGCGTGATGCTCTCTGAGTTTATGATTTACAGTAGCTCTGATATTATGTTTTACAACACAATTTATCTAGACCAGGGTCAGAAATTAACCTGGACTTGGTGCAAAAAATAGCTCAGAAATTGACACACAAAAAAAAGACCAAATTTCAAAATGTTGGTAAAGAGTTCCTGTTTTTGTTGATTTAATTTTATGGATAAAAGGTAATAAATACATACATTTTCAATCTAATTATTGAGAGTTTGTGTTAATGAATGGATTATATTAAAGCATTTGACATAAAATGCTTATACAGAATATGTTTTAAATGGTTACAAAAAAAAATATGCCATGTTGCCATCATAAAAGATAAACAATACCCCTGAAAATCAGTTCCAATGGGCAAATAGTGGCTCTTAATGTAAAAGTTAGTTTCCTGAAACTATTTAGATCAGTCTTGCTTCCATCTTATTTTGATTTAGTTTTATATGTTATGCCTTCGAAATAAACTTACAAGATTTCAGTGAGAGTCCTATCCCAGAATGCAAACACATAATGAAAATGAGCATTGTAAAACTGGTTCATATTGGAATATAGGGTAATAATGGATCTTATGCAGTCTAATGGGAAGTAATATTCCAAACACAAAAATTGGGATTCTCTTGATTGTAATGACGGTTTAACTCAAGTATTATCAGTGTCATTATCTATGTACTGATTTGGTTTCTTTCTGTTTAATTAGACAACAAATTCAGGCTTTTTCCCACTCCGGGCCTAATTAGGACCCCTCTGAGTGTTTTAGCATTTACTGATTTAGCTTTATTATCCTGGAGTGGAAGTGTAATCAAACTTTATTTCACATTATACTGTATCTTCATTTTATTCTCCATTTAAAAGTGAAATATCGTACTTTGTATAATGCATAAACAGCCAGCCTGAGGGCCGTACGTAGATGTTTTTTTCCGTGACTCCACCCACATTCAGACATTGACCAATGGAATAAGGTTATAGAGCAGCTCGGCACGCCCTCTCCTGAGTTCATGAAGAAACTGCAGCCGACGGTGCGTAACTACGTGGAGAACAGACCAAAATACGCCGGCCTGACCTTCCCCAAACTCTTCCCTGATTGCCTCTTCCCTGCAGACTCGGAGCACAACAAACTCAAAGGTAAGCGAGAGTTTGTGTACATTTAGTTGCGAGTGTGTTATTTGGCATAAGAACATTTGTCAAGTACTGTCAACATTTTTTTTTGTGTGTGTAGCTTGATTTTGAGGTTGAATCTCATGAAAAACTCTTGAAAAAAAATGTGTGGTCATATTTAATCCCTAAAATAAAAAAAATAAAAAAATTTGTATATATTTTGTGTAAAGAAAACAAAGGCCACTTTTATGACCATTAGAATTTCCTCCATTCTCATTCAAAAAATAAAAATAAAAATAAAATTGAAATAAATACATAAATATTTTGTGTAGATAAATTTAATATATTAAAGTTACTTTTTATATATTCATATATTTTGTGTAAAGAAAACAAAGCCTAATTTTATGACAAATTTTCTCCATTCTCAATCAAAATAAATAAATAAAAATAAATACAATTAAATTTTAAAAAACATTAATTTTTATGTAGATAATGTTAATATATTAATATAATGAAGCCTATTTTTATGACCATTAGAATTTCCTCTATTCTTAATACAGTTTAAATAAATAAATTAATATATTGTAACATTTTATGTACTAATATATTTTGTGTAAAGACAACCAAGCTTATTTTGATCACCATTAGAATTTCCTTCATTCTTAGTAACCTATTGTAACATTAAAAATATATTTTAATTCTGAAAAAAATATATTATTTTAATTATAGAGTACAATTATAAGCCATTTGTGAGATTCAATCTAAAATACTACTAGGATCATTAAAAAAATTAATCACAGGTGAACACTAATAATTTCAGTTTGATTCATCTCTCTTTGTTATGCTCATGGCATGCCTGCATGAATCAGGCAGCAATTTCCTTCCCATTTGCAAAAATTGAGAGACGTTTCATAAATTGTGTTCAGAGCTGTAGTCGTTCTTCAGGGGAAAGCGGAGGAGAATCATGAGTTTTTGATATGGAAATTGCGTGGTGGAGTGTATTCTCAGTGAACAGACATCACAGGCAGATGCTGGATGTTCTAACCGATATCACATTTTTCAAGGGCGTAAATGATTGTATAATGCGCGGTTTTTCACATGTACACACATTATTCGTATCTGATAGACCTCCTCATTCCGAACAACTTTGCCTCTAGAACCACTGCTGTAAATCAAATTGTTTGTTACATAATTGAGAATATGTAAAAAAAACTACTTTTGTGAACTAGTCCTAGGTTTTTCACTCAAGCTCGAAAACACCACTGCAGTACAACTCTCTTGACTCTCTAGGTCAATAATTATCAAAACAATGTTGAATTTTACCCTTTGGGTAGCTATAACCTGGTTGTTCAGAAAAGGGGTGTGTCCAAATATACCCAAAAGCCTATAAAACCTAAACAAAAACTCAAAACTTCACGAAATTTGGTGAGCACATGCGACAGGTGATTCTAAACAAGCATGCAAAGTTTTATGGAGATCGAACCATAGGTGGCGCTATAACAGTTAAAAAGGCTTAAAAAACACTATATTTCTATGGTAAATGACCTCAAATTGCAGAAAATGTTCATATATTCACGTATCTTCAGATCGTATGATCGATCTCCTCATTCTGAACAAATTTGCTGTCAATCAAATTGTTCTTTAAATATTTGACATTATTTACAAAAAAATACTTTTGCAAACTACTCCAATCCGACCACAGGTGGCACTATAAAAATCATCATATTTCTATGGTAAATTACCTGGATTTGCCAAAAATGCTTTATTTAATCATTGATTTAGGTGGTTACCGGCTGGCTAAATAATATGTAATGTCTTTTTTCATATGTGCTTAAATGCCTCAAAGCGCTTGAACCCCGATAATCGCTGCTTGCAGCTATGTTTTCATTTTATTTTCGTAAATTTGAACTTTTTTGACTATTTGTGATCAGCGTTTTTACTTAGTCTTCAAACACTTAGCCAATATAAATGTGCAGTTTATTAAACACATTTACATGACAAATTGATATTGAAAGGCAGAGAGGGGGAGAGAGAGAGAGAGAGAGAGAGAGAGAGAGAGAGAGAGAGAGAGAGAGAGAGAGACAGAGAGAGAGAGTCAGCCATACAGATCTGCAGAAATCGGTGTCGGACATTTTGAAGCGGTCTAGCAGAGAGAAGAGAGAGATGGGATGATGCTGTAAGAAGAGAGAGAGAAAGGGTCTGACTTTCCCTAGCTATTTATAGAGCAAGAAAGTGAGGGAATCAGAGAGCATGCAGAGGTGGAGAGGAAGAGAGGGAAGGAAAAGTGAGAGTGTGATGTTTTCGGTGCCCTTGCAAAGGAAGCAAAGAAATAGAGGATGAAATGTGAAGATTGTGGTGTCTGATTTGTGAGATGTTTACACTGAATTCTTCAAACTCCTGAAATCAACAATAATTCTGTTTACTTCCTTAATAAATGTCCCTGCTCTAATTCTGTTCAAGTTCCAATAAAAATATATGTAATATACAGTATATGCTCACCATGTCTGCATTTAAATGAACAAAAATACAGTAAAAAATGTAATATCTTGAAATGCTATTGATAATTATTCATAACAATTATTAATTATTATTAGGGCTCAATTAATAATGGTCCTTATTATTATCAATGTTAAAAAACTTGATGTTAAAACAATTAAGCAGCAAAAACTTTTTCAGCATTGATAATAATGTTTCTTGAGGAGCAAATCAGCATATTAGAATGATTTCTGAAGGATCATGTGACACTGAAGACTGAAGTAATG